GTTTGCATTTTAATCCTAAAATAAATATACCAAGCTAACTGGCTCTTTGAAGAAGTATTTGGCTTTCAGATTTTGAAAATAGGAGTAGCAAGAAGAGCATGAAATTTTACAAGAGGGAGCTAGACCGTAAATAAATACCGTGATGACTGCTCATAGCAAGTATGAGTAGGTGGGTTTTTAAAAACCAGTTATACAGATATGTTTTAAATATGAAGTAGTTCCTAGATAGCATGTCTGCAAGTGATTCCCAGGACTGAGTAAGTGCAGCAACACACACGGACTTTATGTGGCGCAGAGACCTGAAGTCTGTGCATAAGTGGATGTGTAATGAATGCTAATTTAGATGTCATAAAAAAACCAAACCCACAAATTCAGTCAGAGATATGCCCAGCGGAGTAATTATTGAGATGAAAAGCCCCAGCACGTGACGTGGCGCAGTCTAGGAGGGACATCGGGCCTGTTTGTCACAGGACTGCTCGTGCATTTGGAAATGCCCCGTTCACCTGAAGCAGTGCCAGCAGAGCCAGCCTGAAGCCTGGTGGATTGTAAGCAGGAACAATGCTGGTTTGAGTTGTAGGAGGTGGGGCTGGAGGAGGGATTTTCAGCATCTGTAAATGTTTTATCCAGCGTAGGTGCCGCGCTGGTCGGAGTGATTTATTCGATGCTAGGTACTGGAAATTTTTCCTGGCTTAATGGTTGAGATTTTTATTCCATCCTCATGGATGAATTGGTTTCTTGGGAATTGTGCTCTAAGAGGGGATTTGGAGTCTGCATATCTCAAAGCCCAAGAGAGCAGGGGAGCAAACAGGCTCTGGGCTTGGCTCTCCAAGCACAGGCGTTCCCAGGGACCGGCTAACCCAGCCCAAGACCCTTATTTTCAGCGTTTAAACTCACCCATGCAGAATTATCCTTCGCAATCAGACTTAATATTTCTTTCAGGAAAACGCTGCTTGCGTCCTCCCTGGATTTTTTTTGAGACAGGGTCCCAGTGTGGAGTGTGGCTGTGCCTGCAGCTGTGTCTGTAGGGGGGCTGCGCTGCTGATTTATACGACATCGTTATGAGTAACTGGTGCAAGCTTGGGCTGAAATGCACAGCTTCCATGTCTGTCCCACAGCATGACACCCTAAATCAAGTCCTTTTCCTCTGTGCATGTGAGAGGCCCAGCGTGTTCCTCTCCTGCGAGTTTCTGAATTTATGTCGCGCGTTCTCTTGCTTATTTAATCTCCGCTTTCAGAGCACAAAGACACGATGGAACTTACTGTTTGGTGGATGAGGAAAGTGAGGTTCGGCTGCAGCAACGTGTGAAGAACTCAGATTTGGGGTTTGTACCTGAGTGGTGGTGAGGGCAGTTTAGTAATGCCAAGTGTTTATCTGATAAACCAGGTTCTTATAGAAGTGTATGAAGGTTACGCCGTCCCCTCTGATTCCTGAACCCTTGTCATAAATGCATTAAATGTGACAGATCTTATATTACTGTCAGGGTCTTAGAAAGCAGTCATTGCTCAACTGCCTTATGGGATTTGTTTCTGGGTCTTACATGGACTTTTTTAAAACCAGCCAAGTGCCCGATTTTCTAAGGTGTAACGTATCTTAGGAGCGATAAATATCTATTAATAACTGTTTGTAAAGGAAGCTCAAAGTAATTTACTAACTTAAAGCAAAAAAAAAAAAAGAATCCTCATTAATTTTGATAGTTGGCTATTTTAGGTCACTTTCTTCTACTTTCTGATTACTGTATTAATCCTAATGTATGAACATGTCTCCATGAGCGTGCTTTTCCAAATCCAGTAATCAAATAATCTGTGAAGCGTTTCAGTCTGTCACACCAAGAAGACCGAAAAAAATTAAAGTGCTGGTGGTGATGGAGAAGTGTCAGAGTCAGCTGCATAGATTGTGTTTGGAACAAAGGTGTAAAGAATTAAGTCGAGTTTCTTAGGTGTGCGCTCTGATTGAGCAGAGTGGTGGCGGACAGGGCTGAAATAATTGTTTTATCTGCTGTTGGACTGCAGTGAGGGTCGGATGCGTAACTATTACAGGGCTTTTAGAAATGCCAGTCTGTAATTCCCAGCTGCTGGGCTGTGAGGTGATCACAACCCAGGGTGTCCCCAAAAGCTGAGCAGGCAGTGCTTTGCCTTCAGAGGCCAATCCCCTCGTGATGCAGCAGAAGAGAAGATTCCTGTATTACTGTTTGCCATGCTGTAGCTGTGAGTGAAAAGAAAGCTTAAGCCTTTAGGACTGGCAGTAACACCACTTTTATTAAGTTTCTATTGAAGGACTATTTTGAGTAAGATAAATTGATGGCACTGAACACAATAACCCTCAGTATCTCACTCTCAAATACTTAGTAGGCAAGCGCTGCTGAATAAGAGAAGAAAGCTAAAGTGTAGGAAAAAAGGTTACTTGGCAACATTACAGTGTTAGTAAAGAAGAGAAAGAAGGGTCAGGAACTTAATGAATTTTGATTATAGAATTTTCTGTAAGTGAGTCATTGCATGAATAGAAAAAAATCCGAAAGCAGATTTTGGTGCCACGCTCTTCATGGGGATTGCCTGGAGCAAAGCAGGGCTCGTTTGGAAGCAAACTGCAGAGAACAGCAAAAGCGTAGCTGCTGTGTACAAACAAAATTGGACTCCCCAGGGGCAGGCACTGCTGGTCACGGCTCAGGCAGAGATTTCTCTGAACGAGGTTTTGTGGTGGTGACGAAAGCTGGTGTTTATTTATTTATTTTTGTTGTCTGGGATAAATACACTTGGAAGTGTGGAGGTTTGTGTGTTGATTTGGAGACCCTTATGTTTACTGTGTGACGTGGGATGGAAAAAGTTGGGGCACCAAGTACAAAAGCTTTATGTCCTATAATTGCAGTTCTGCCCACCTTGCCAGGGCAATTTCCTGGGTTAAATGAATTTTTTTCTCTGTAATAATAACCTTATTAATTTCAGACCCTTGCAGAGAAGAAAAATCCATTGATTGTTTCTGCAGTGGCAACCAGCTGCAAGGCTCAGATAATTGTACCTGGTACCTTGAGTGGAATAGGAGGTACAATACCAAACCCAAAAAACCAGTTATCTACCAAAATACCTCTTCCCATCCAGTCCAGCCAGCAGTAGAATCTGTTTTTAAAGTAAACTTGGTCTCGCAGAGCCTGAATTCTGGAAATTAATTCAGTGGCCCACAGCAAGCAGATGTGGTATTTTTATGGTAAATACAGTTTGATTGGAAATTAATTATTTACCAAATAATTAATATATAATTATTTACAAATACTAACTATGGTACCTAGGAAAATGCAGTGTAACAAAGAATATCTGCCCTATACCCCTTCCCCCACTAATATTTATCAGGTTAAATTCTAACTTGGTAAAATCTTGTTAGTAAGTGCATTTATGGGGATGTTTTTCCATTGGAGACCAGGACATACCCACTTGGAATTTGATGTCTGGAACCACTTTAAAGCTCCCCAGTGCAGGGAACTGAATTGGTTTTGGTTTTTCTCACCTATGTAGGGAGCTGAAGTTGCAAACACAAGTAGAAGTTTTGACACAGTTCACTGTATAGTAAATACTAAATACTAATTTAGTTTACAGTTCAGTAAACTAAAACAATCCTTCTAAAGTCTGTATTTTTCTTAGGGTTTGTGCTTTATTTCCTATTACTGGTCATGCATCTCATTACAGCTGTGGGGATTTAAGACAAACAGATTCACAGGGATGTGTGATAATTGTTTTTCTTTTTGGTGTGGAGACCAAAACTAATAAAACCTGTTTAATTTTCTTTTTACTTTCAGTCCCTGATTTTTTTTTAAATGTCTGTTCTGCCAGTTCGTCCCAGTAAATCTTAGAACAGCTTTGTTTTGGATGCTTTAAAGTACTTAGAGCTTGGTTTCACTGCTCTGATGACTCGAGATGTAAGTGGACTATTATTCTGACATAGCTTCAATTTCATAACTAGAAATTTTGAGGTATTTAGGAGTTAAGCTCTGACCGTGATCAAAGTGGCACATCAATGGAATGAGCTGAAGCTTTGTGGAATTGGGATGGCATTTTCTGTGGCACTAATCCAGATGTTGTGCTATTCAAGTGCTGAGCAAATCAAATTACGGTAACTCTGCAGAGAAATAATTGCTGTTCTATAGTAGGCAATGGGTTGCCTTTTATGTTTAAGTTATTCTGCTACAAATTAGAACTTCTAACCACCAAGTATGCATAAAGCATTTCTCTTACCTATTATTTTTCTCTGTTCTGCTTAAATAAAACAGGATGAAACTTCTGTGATCCCCTGTAGTTGATAAGATCAAATTACCAAATGTAGCTTGCAAATAACCAGTTGAATTAAATTTTTAACATCGTTGGCTATAGAAAAAGATTTATTTTTTTTTTTCTGTGGTTGTTTAGTGCTCTAGCACATCAGTTCCTGACTTTATAGATTCTGGGAAGGTGAGCTCTGTGGGTCTAAGAAGTTGCCATTAAACTCAGTTCTGCAGTTTCCAGGTTTCATCAGAGCACTCCTGAACGCACCTGATTGCGTGTAAACAAATATTCGTGCTGGAATCTGTAGGAGTGCCTGTGCCCTTGAACAAAATCAGCTGCTAAGCTGCTCATCTCCAGTGAGAGCCTGTTCCTGGCCCACCTGTGAGACCTGTTATTTAATGACCTGTGTACCCATCCGTGCACCAGGCAGAGGAGATGGAAAACATGGATCTGAATTCAAAGTCTCTTAAATCCATTCCCCCCCCCCCCCAAAATGTTTAAACTGACTGTAGTATCAGAAAGTGGCCATACCTTGTGTATATTTTAATCTTCCTTCCTTCTTTCCTTCCCAGGTAAGTATTTAGGAAGCGCTGTGGTCCTTTTTTTCAGCACGGCGTGTGTAAATGGATGTGTGTGTGTGTGTGTGTGCGCTCACCCTTTTGCAGAGAGAGATCTGTGCTGATACCTGAAATAATAGATGTGAGGGGTTTTAACCTTGTAACTGTTACGAGATCTTTATGTGTCTGCTTTAGGGTCGACCCCATCCCGTATGACACTCCGAAACCGGCGGGCCACACGCGATTTGTCTGCGTCTCAGACACGCACTCCAGAACAGATGGCATCCAGATGCCTTATGGGGACATCCTTCTCCACACGGGCGATTTCACCGAGCTGGGACTGCCCTCAGAGGTTAAGAAGTTTAATGACTGGTTAGGTAAGGAATTACTGCGTTTGGGTGACCCCAATTAACCTCCCCCGTCCGAGTGTCAGTCACCGCCTCCTAATTGAATTAGAGCACTTGAAAATCTCCCCCCCCTCCCTGCTCCCCCACCCCTTACTTCACTTGTCCTCATGTGATGTGCTGTTTCTAGCCTTGGTCTAATTCTGTTAATTACGACAAATTTAGGTTACTTTGCTGTATTTCTGCATCATTTTGGGGGGGAAAAGGTTCTGTCATTCCACAACAAGAACTGCATAGCCCTATGAGTGTCCCACGGAGGTGGTGGCACCTCTTAGGAATGCATACAGTGTCCCATTAGCTGATGCTGGGGGGGGGGTTAAATCCGTTGGGAGCAACAGTTTTGGGTTCACCATAACTTTTAAGCAGTGCTGGAAGCTACAACATAATTGGAAATGATGAAAGTCCTTCTTCCCAGGATATAGAATGACAGAATCAATAAAACTGTTTGGAAGAGGAGATTTTTTTTTTTTTTTTCTTTTTTTGGAGTGGCATTCACATTGAGTTAGAATACTGGCATTTTAAGTTGGACCACAGGCAGTCAGCCTCCCTTTGATAAGAATACCTTTCATGTTCTGCTGGTGTTTGACAGCAGTGCCTCGATATTGCCGGAGCTGAGGGCGATTAAATTTTGCAACAGCAGAAAACCAGAATGAAGGAGGGGAATTGTGCAGGATGCTCCTGTTATAAATGCCATCAGTAGCAGGCTGTGTACTGCCATGCCACCTCTTGCACTGGAAGTACTCAAGAGTTGAAGGTGACTCAAGCAGCTGATCTTCAGGAAACGCTAGAACGAATTTACGGCATTATATAAAAAAATCTTTCCAAGCGTAGCTTTGTCATCAGGCTTTACCTCCATCACTGCACTCCCTTGCCTGCTGTGTGATGGCAGCATCTCCACAGGCCTTTAGTAGCATCATTTTATTCCATTAGAGTTCCTTGGCAGACCCTTCAAGAGATATGTGAAGAACTTTTGGATTTACAAAGGGAAATAGAAGAACTTCTCCACTGTCTGTCTTTTCATCCTCCTTTGCATTTCCTCCATGCTGTTCTTTTTTACCTGACCTCTGATTTCCACAGCCCAGTTTTAAAAGAGTGTTTTTCCTTCTTTTTATTCCTGTGCATGTGGAGCTGGGGCTTCCTAATACTGCCACATCACTGTTACCTAGTTTTATTTTTCTTACTTCTAGAAAGCAGTGGTGGATCTGATAGGCTCAAAACTATCCTTTTTCTGGGAATGGGAAGTTAGAAGCAGTAGGAGAAGCAGGTAGATATGTCATAGGACGAGGGAAGAGGCAGGGTAGGAATCATCATCCTCAGATTTTTGAGTGTTCCTTGTGATAATGTCCAATTCCTTGTGTTTGCCAGGTGTTTCGTGGTGATGTTGTTTTATCACACAGGTCCTTGGCTTAACATTTGCAGCAGAAGAATTACAACCCTTTGGGTGGGTTGTGTTCCAGCCTCCATCATTTACCATGGGACTTCCTTAGCATATATGTGTAGTTGTTGTAGAAGTCAGGATAGGACTTATCTGAGGGAGCAGATTTTGCATTCTTTGGCAGTCAGATTCATTGAGACTGGAAGCTTTGACTGTGGGAGGACCTCCTGGCTTTGGGCTCAGGCTTTCATATTTCAGGTGCAGAGAAAACCCTCTGTTTTACATGCACAGGACTCACTTGCACTTTCATCTTCGTGACAATACCAGTCATTAGGTTTCTGGCATAAGGTGAAACAGCAAACTGATTCCCCTGTGGAATCTTATCCTGTTGGTGAATACTTGCTTCAGTGCTGTCCCTTCCTCACCTGGAATCGAAACAGGCAAGTCAGGCACATCCTTTTGCCCCTTTATTTCAGGCTCCTACCTACAGAACGGGTAATCGTGTTTTACCATTTACTATTTTACTATTTACTGTGTGTAATGTCAAGATTTAATACCTTCAGTGTTGTGAGGTGGTGACATGAATAAATATATCCCAGTGGCAGGCAGGAACAAGTGGGGTTCCTTTCTCTTCTGCTGGGTGGTGGGAGGCATGTTTTTTTCATCATACTTGGTAGGAACTTCATTCCAAAGCCACAGAGTGAGAACTGCCATCAAATACAGTGTTGGCCTTATAGAAAAGGGTTTTCCTAATCTTTCATGGGCACGGTTTGCTCCACTGACAGTTGTGTTGTGGAGCTGTAATGAAGGTAACACACCTGTTATCGTTTTATGCCATGAGGGAGAGAAGTGAGATCAAAACTGGGTTTCATTCTGCAGCTTGTCTTACCTACTCTGTGGTTAAAAAACAGGGGCTCATCTCCACTAGGACTGTACAATGAAATAAACAATAAATATAAAATGTAAACCAATAACTGTCCATATTTTTTTTTGGGGGGGGGGGCAGTAAAGCCAAGGGAAAAGTTAAAAGGTGATTAATTCTGAACTCCTGCTTTGCTTGTACTTCACTGGGCATTACATGTGCCAGAGTTATACGGGGCTGAGAGCAAAATTCTGTCAGCCCTGCAGTTTTATAGTTTGTGAGGTGCAACAATTTGGGTCTCTCACCTGGGAGAAGTGTTCAGCACCTCATTTGTCCCCTTCATTAACACTCATTGTTCTTCCTTCCCTCCACAGCCAAATCACAGAACGTGCTTTCCACGCTCTCTTTCCCACTCCTCCTAGTTCTCAACCTTTCCTGCAACTTTTTTTTTATGCTTTTTTTCCCTTTGGCTGTTACATTTTCATTATTGGTTTTGCATGGCAGTCATCTGGGCTTATACACTGAATAACCTCTGTGGTCACTTACTGATTACATACACTGGCTGAAGTAATTTATTCACTTTGTTTTGGTGTGAACATGTCCCTTGGGTCTTGTAACTGCTGTAATCACTTGACCTTCGCGACTGTTAAATGCTTTAAACACAGTTATTTTAAATTTATAATTGTTTTCATTAAAAATCTCACTTATGGTAACTTAGCTGATTTTGCAGTAAACACAGCATTGTGTACTGAGGAAGAATTGAGATGTTATTCTCTGCCCAATGGGTTTCTTGCTAAATGTTTCAACTTACTATTATTATCTCTGTTCATGTTTTTCCCATCCATTCTCGTTCAGTCATACATGTGGAATGAAATACAGAAATATCCAATTATAGCTCTTGTCTTCCTAGTGCAATATTTCCTTTCCTGGGCGATGGGAAGTGATTGAATAACCCATAAGAACTGAAGGGGAAGCCAAGATAAAATAAATTCTGGCAGATAGATCTTTAATGAGTGTCGATATGTTTATTGTGCTCAATTAGGATGGGCCTGATTGTGCATATCCTTACTTGTGTGAATAATTTGCATCCCGTTTGGTAATTTTTTCTCAAACAGCCAGTTTTATAAATTTTTAGAGGTTACAGTGTTAATTTTGGGGTTCTGGGTTTTTGTTTGTTGGGGTTTTTTTTTCCATGCAAGGCTTCTATCTCAAGGCATATTACTGCACAAACTGGACAAAATCCTGTAGTTGTACACAAAAATAAATTCAGCAGGTGAGACTACTGCTGGTTACTGTCTGTGGAGCCGAGTGTTGAATTTAGCTAGGTTTTTCCTGAGTTGTTCTGGGATTTAGCAACTTAATTGTTTCATGTTTTTTTGTCTTGCTTTTGTTTTGAACGTCTATATCTTTTAATTTCTGAGGGATAATGACTCCACAAGCTTTGTGAATGGTTTAGTGGCCAAATACATATGGGTTTGTACAGGAACAAATATTTCTTTGCCTGTAATGTATGCTTGCCTTTAGTGTAAACGTTGTTGACAGAGCTAAAATAAAAATTCACCTTTTTTTTTTTTTTTCTGCACTGTAGTTCCTTGAGCACGTTACTTAAAGTGAGAAGAAAAGAATGATTACACAATTTTAATGTGGAGGTTTTCTCGTTACGCGCTGTATATGTAAATGTGGTGCTCAGAAAAGTACTGCCAGTTACTTTAAATTCATTTTTGTGGGAATGTGAGTTATGGAAAATAGCAGCACCAGCTTGGAATTGCTGGTTGTTTCGTGGAATAGAGGACCACGTGGAAATGTGGTGTTGCTCTCAGAACTATGGACAGACACTTGGTTCCAGTCTCCACTTGAATTTATGCATCAGTGCCGTAGGAATCTTAAATTTATTCTCAACTGTTAAGCCAAACACCTGCCAAAATAGTGTTTGATCTTGAAGGTAGTGTAATTTAAATGGGGGAAAAAAAAATGTACAAAAATAGCACAATGGTAAGATCAAGCTTTTTTCTTATCACTGTTTAAAAATGCAGGGTCACATCCCGCTTTTATCCTTTCTCAATCTCTCTGGTCTAGCTTAGTTATTCCCTCATTTTATCTGGCTTCATCTCCTCTCCAGGCATGTTTCATTCAGGGTTTTGTCCTAAAAGTGTGTTCCTTTTGC